CTAAAGCATTTGACTGCTAAACAGAAGGCTGGCAGTTCAAACCCACCAGCCACTCCTCAGAAGGAAGGTTGGGCAATCTACTTCTGCAGTTATACCACCTCAGAAACCCAAGGAGGGTTTGCTATGAGTCGGATCCAACTTGACGGCAGTGAGCTTGGTTTTTTTGTTTGGTACAAGGTATGGCTCCACCACTTACAGTGGCCTCTATGCTTCAGTTTTAGTAATTACCTGTTCTTAGAATTAATAACATGTACATGCTAAATGCTTAAAATGATGTCTGGCCTGTTCTGAGTACTCAAAAAAATACTAGCTATTCTTTTCATGTTGCTCTTTAGGCAGTATGTTTATAAATATAAAAGTAACCAAGAAAAGAAAAAAAAAATCATTTTCCATTCACCCTTGATTGACCTATTAAAAGAGATTGGAAATGAAATTCTTCGTTAAAAATTTTAATACCAGCTTGATAGGTGATACTTAGTGTTAGAAAGTATCCTAAAAATCATATAGTTCAGGAGGTTCTTAATCTGCATTCTGTGAAACCCCAGAAATTGTGGGCAGCATTTTATGAGTATATACACATTTGTACATTTTTTCTCCTTTTCTTGTTAGAATGTCTGAGGGTTTCATTAGCTTTTTCACTGAGGTCTGAGTCCCAGGAGAGACTGAGCCCTGATTTCTTGACGAGCCCCAGTCCACATGCCAAAGACCCTATGTTTAGACCCAGCTCTGCTGCTCCTAGCAGTGAGTTTTAACAGTTTAGCTCTCTGAACTTCAGTACCTGGTTTATATTTTTCCTAGAATTGTTGTAAAACCTAAGCAAAAGCATATTTAAGAGAATTTTAAAGGAGCTCTGGTAACATAGTGCCTAAGGCACTTGACTGCTAACCAGAAGACTGGCAGTTCAAACCCACCAGCCACTCCTCAGAAGGAAGGTTGGGCAATCCTACTTCTGTAGTGATACTGTCTCGGAAACCCAGGAGGGGTTGCTATGAGTTGGGTCTGACTCGACGGCGCGTAACAACAACAACATATAAATGTACAGTTGTGGCACCTATTATCATGAGGAAACTGCGAGCAGAAGCAGAGATTGAGTAATTTGCTCAAGGGATATACCAGATAGTCCTGCTGTCTCTATATCCTGGGGTGTTCTTTAGCCACCTTGTCCCTTCAGCATGGACACGATCTTTACCTAAAATGAAATGACCTTACCAAAACAATTAAATGAGCCAAGAATAGCCTTTCAACATATGGTGCTAGGGCAAGTGGATATTTACATGCAAAACAGTGACATTGAGCCCTTCCTGCATACCATATACAAAAATTAACTCAAAATAGGTTGTAGACCTACATACAAGAGCTAAAATGATAAAACTCTTAGAATAAAACACAGGAGTAAATCTTCATGACCTTAGATAACGCAAAGCGTTCTTAGATATGACATCAAAAGAATAAGTGACAAAAGAAAATGAATAGATCAATTGGATTTGTACTTCATAGGATACCATTAAGAAAGTAAAAACTTTATAATGGGAGAAAATATTTGTACATATTATATCTGATAGGGACTTGTGTTCTGAATATACATAATGAACTCACAACTCAATAAAAAAGACAACCCAATTTAAATAAAATTGGCAAAAAACTTGAATAGACATTTCTCAAAAAAAAGATTCACAAATGGCCAAGAAGCGCATGAAAAGATGCTCAAGATCATTAGTCATTAGGCAAATGCAAATTAAGAGCACAATGAGATCCCACTTCACACCCAGTAAGACTGGTATAACCAAAAAGACAGATAATAAGTTTTGATAGGGATCTGCAGAAATTGGATCTTCATTCATTGTTGGTGGTAATCTAAAATGGGTCATCTATTCTGGAACATAGTTTGATGATTCCTCAAAGTGTTACACATATAATTATTATATGACTTAAGCAATTCTATTCCTGTTACTGTGGTTAGGTGCCGTCAAGTCAGTTCTGACCCATAGTGACAACAGAACAAAACACTGCTAGTCCTGCATCAACCTCACAACCATTGCTATACTTGAGCCCATCATTGCAGCCACTGTGTCAATCCATCTCATTGAGGGTCTTCCTCTTTTTTGCTAACCCTTTACCCAACATGTTATCCTTCTCCAGGAACTGGTCCCATCTGACAACATGACCAAAGTATGAGACATGAAGTCTGGCTATCCTCATTTTTAAAGAACATTCTGGCTTTACCTCCTCCAAGATAGATTTGTTCATTCTTCTAGTAGTCCATAGTACCTTCAATATTCTTTGTCAACACCACAGTTCAAAAACATCAGATCTTCTGTGGTATTCATTATTCACTGTTCAACTCTCACATGCATATGAAGCTACTGAAAATACCATGGCTTGGATCAGGTACACCTTAGTCTTCTAAGTGACATCTTTGCTCTTAAACACTTTAAAGAGGTCTTTTGCAGCAGATTTGTGGAGTGCAATACATCATTTGATTTCCTGAATGCTGCTTCCATGGATGTTGATTGTGTATCCAAGTAAAATGAAATCTTGCACAACTTCAGTCTTTTCTCTGTTTATCATGATGTTGCTTATTGGTTCAGTTGTGAGGATTTTTTGTTTTCTTTATGTTGAGGTTTAGTCCATACTGAAGGTTGTAATCTGATCTTCATCAGTAAGTGCTGCAAGTGATCTTCATTTGCAATGAGGAAGGTTATAGCATCTGCGTATTGCGGGTTGTTAATGAGTCTTCCTCCAATTTTGATGTCACGTTCTTCTTCATATAATCTAGCTTCTCAGATTATTTGCTCAGAACGCAGATTGAATAAGTATAATGAAGGAATACAACCCTGACACACACCTTTGCTGATTTTAAGCCATTCATTATCCCCTTGGAGCTCTGGTGGCATAATTTCTAAGTCATTTGACTGCTAACCAGAAGGCTGGCGGTTCAAACCCACCAGCCACTCCTCGGAAAGAAGGTTGGACAATCTACTTCTGCAGTGATACCGCCTCAGAAACTGGTTAGTGTCCCCTTGTTATGTTTGAATGATTGCCTCCTGGTCTATGTAAATTCTACTTATGGGTACATAATATATCCAAGAAAAATGAAAACATTATGCTAAGTGAAAGAACCCAATCATAAAAGGCCATATATTGTGTGATTCCGTTTATATGAAATATCTAGAATAGGTAAATGCATGTACTCCCCTGGATTATGAATCAGTGTGTCTTTAAGTTAAATTCACAGGTTAGTTGGAAAAGGTACATACAGTTATTATTTAGCCTTACTTTAGGCTTGAAGCCGTCTCAGTGATTTAAAAGCTGCACGTTCAGCAAGCGAAGGTAATTGAAATGAAGAATATGTTGTAGTAGGGGTTGGCTCAATCATTTCAAAATAAGGACAAATTTTTGTAACATTAAAAGGCAAATACGAGTTGTCTATTATTTGGATATTCGTAACCTGAGGACTTATACATAGAGACAGGAAGTAGATTAGTAGTTGCTAGGGGTTTAGGAAGGAATGGACAGTGACTGGTAAGGGATGTGGAGTTTCTTTTTGAGGTGATGAAAATGTTCTGGAATTAGATAGTTCGCCATGATTGCAACAACCAAACCAAACCCAGTGCTGTCAATTCTATACTGACTCAAAGTTACCCTATTGGACAGGGTGGAACTGCCCCACAGGGTTTCCAAGGCTGTAAATCTTTATGGAAGCAGGCTGCCTCATTTTTTTGCTGTGTAGTGGTTAGAGTATTGAAACCACCAACTTTTTGGTTTGTAGCCGAACACTCTTAACCACTGTACCACAGTGTTGGGAATATACTAAAAATGGCATGGTAAACTTCAAAAGGATGAATTCTGTGGTGTATAAATCATCTCAAACTGTTATTAAAAAAGAATAAAATGGCCCTCAATTTTCTTTCTTGGATGAAACATACACACATCGTGTGTATAGTATGTCAAGTTAATATATATATATGTATGTATATATATATAATATATATATATGTATATATGTGTGTATATACATGTATGTATATATATACTTATATATGTGTGTGTATATATATATTTATATATATGTATATATATGAAGGCCAGTGACCTCAATCAGCCCAGAGAAAGATTTTCCAGGTGAAGACGGGTCATTCACAAGGCACACAGAAAAGCATGTTTCACATTGTGCCTGGCTGCGTTTGTTCTGTGAACAAACAGAGGTCTTCAGGGTTGCTGCTTAGCCTCATTATTTTAGGAGGTTTTACTATTAGGTTAATGTGTTCACTGTGCATGTAAATAATGAAAAAAAATATCAACCACATTTATTTTTCTAAAAATACTTTGAAGATATTAAATTGTTCCTTTATACCCTTTTGTTAGAAGTTATCCAATTTATATATATATATTAGCATCTTGCTGTATGTGGAGTGCCTTGTAATAAAAAAGAATATATATGTAATATACTCAAAGTCATTCTTGTATCTTAATTTAAAAATAGGAAATAAAACAATCCTTCAAAAAGTTAACTGTGCTCTAAAGTACATGTTCTCAAACATCTCTATGCATAAATAGCAAGTGGGCCTTGTTAAAAATATTTTAGGCTCCCACCTCTAAGAGATTGAGTCAATCTAGATTTTCAAGGGGGCCCCAGATGATTCTGAGAAGCAAGGATTTGCACTTTGAGGAATACTGCCTTAGGGACTTAGACCTAGAATTTGGAGATGATTTAAGTGTGGTTTTGTTCTCGTTGTTGTTGTTGTTATGTGCCGTGGAGTTGGACCAGACTCATAGCGACCCCTCACCATCATGATAATTAATATGCAGTTTTAAGATATTTTCCAGCCATGTAGTGTTAGATGATATCCACCTTCTTACTCTGATATTAGAAAATAGTTTCTGCTTTCTCACACAGTAGGTATTTCAAAATGTGTATATTTGTAAACATCTTTCTTGGCACTGTTGACACCAAGGCTTTTGTTCCCGGTTAATGCAGCAGTCTCCCCTGCTCTTTCCAGATTTCTTTTGACCTTGCTGAGTACACCGCAGATGTTGATGGTGTTGGCACTTTGCGCCTTCTGGACGCAGTTAAGACTTGTGGCCTTATCAATTCTGTGAAGTTCTACCAAGCCTCAACAAGTGAACTTTATGGGAAAGTGCAAGAAATTCCTCAGAAGGAGACCACCCCCTTCTATCCTAGGTCCCCCTATGGTAAGTGCAAGTGCAGAGCCAGACACACCGTCTGATCTGTGGGGGTAGGGAATGTGTGTTTCAGTTTTAATTCTGTTCGAGTCTCAGAGCTGAAGTCATTTGGGTGTGAGATTAACTTTAAGATAGACTAAAGTGATTCAACTTGTTGAGAAGCATACCTTTATAAATTGCTAAATACAAGTATTTGTTGCCCTTGCCTCAGGGTAGAATTACCTCCTCACTTCACCAATTCTTGTTCATTCAACCCTCCTATACAGATCACTTTAAAAGAAAAATGAGACCTAAGATGATTCCTTTTATTGAAGTGTTGTGAGGTTGTGCTGAAGTGACAAGGTTTCATGCTTTGTATTTCCCCAGTGAAAGTCTCCCTTGAGTTTAAACCCTTAAAAAAATCCTGTTGTATGTAATGTATTTGTAAAATGAGTATTCATGAAAAGATTTCAGTGATAAAATTTCAAAGCAACTGGGATATTAAAATCTCACTTTTTCACTTGCTGACTCCTTAAAACTAAAAAAGAGAATAAACCTAGGAGAACTTAACTTGATATTGCACACACTATAGTTAAGATTGGGAGCTCTGGTAGCATAGTGGCTAAGGCACTTGACTGCTAACCAGAAGGCTGGCGGTTCAAACCCACCAGCCACTCCTCGGAAGGAAGGTTGGGCAATCCTACTTCCGTAGTGATACTGCCTCGGAAACCCAAGGAGGGGTCGCTATGAGTCGGGGCCGACTCGACGGCACATAACAACAACAACAACAATAGTTAAGATTGTGAAAGAAATAACTGTTTATCACAATACTACAAAAGTAAAGAATTCTTAAACATTTACTTGTGAGTGTGATTAATTGATAAAGAACTTTTATTTATTTTTGGCTTTTGATTAATTTATTTCCTAGCTTAATACATTACAAATTGTAATTTTTGCAAATGTGTTCTTGCTTGAAATGGATTAAAAAGCATTATTTTTTATAATAAACTTTATTTGCTTTAAATTTGAATAGGGGCAGCAAAACTTTATGCCTACTGGATTGTGGTGAACTTCCGTGAGGCATATAATCTGTTTGCAGTGAATGGCATTCTCTTCAATCATGAGAGTCCTCGAAGAGGTTAGTAGCTATTCATTAAAAAGAGAATTCCAGGCTTTTTAAACAACATCAGGAAATTTCTGTGTATATTCAGCATATTCACTAAACTGTAAAAACATTCATACCTAATTCTGAGTACAGTGAACATCAAAAGTTGTAAAGGAAGAAATATGAATCCAGCCTTAATTAGTTATTATGTCCCTATTTTCATTTTATTCAATGTGAAAATAGAATAGCATTTGAGATTTACCATTTTCATTGGTAGGACTTACCAAGCATGTTTTCAACTTAAGTATTAGGAAGTTTCCATATGAATGAAAAGGAATATGTAGACTAATGCCTATTTCTGGAAGTCACTCATATTCATGTAAACTTGACTTGTAGAACCTGTATTTTTTTAAACTTTGGATTGGTTGTACATTCAGTATTCATTCTTTAGATTCCATTAAAAAGACATAGAGAAATTACTATGCTTCTGTAGATTGTATCTCAAAATAAACTTGAAATTAGTCCTATATTTAGAAGAATTGTCAGGTTTTTTTTTTTTTTTTGCATTGTTTTGTTACCTTTTCGTAGTTGTTATTGAAACTGTTGTAACATGCTCTCCTTTCTGATGATAGATTTTAAATAAGAAAGTGTACACTGGTGTCATTATTTGTGATTTATTGTAGCATGAGAACCCTATAAAACGTGTACTCTACAAAGTACAAATTATCTATATAATCTAATTTTAATAAGTTTTATTAAATTTCACTATCATTTAGCCCTTTAGCCCAAGAAAATGCGAAGTTCAGCGTTTTAAGTTGTTTTACGCCCAACAACTAGTAATGCTTATAATGAAATTTTATGTGACTTTAGAGCCCCATAATTAAACTAACAAGTCATGAAGAAAGATTAAAGTGACAGGTTTATAAAGGTGTCTCTAATGTCAGTATGTTTGTATTTTATAATTTCACAAGTTGAAAATTCTCACCACGATTGACTGTTAAAGCATTACAATCTAACCTGTCATCCTTTTCGCCCAAAAGGAATACAAGTTAACAAGTAGGCAGAAACATTTCTTTCATTAATTTTGTAGTTCTGGGTGTCATTAGTAGAGGGAAAGGAACAGGCAAATGTCTGTAACATTTGCTATGCTGGTTGCTCAGGGAATCTGTTCAGAAAAAGATAATACCTGCATCTTTTCTCACAAATAACATTCGAACACATTTGTTGGTTTTTTGTGTTTTCTCTTTCAACTTTCCCTTTGCAAAATAAATAAATAAAAGGACACAGGGAAAGGATAACCACAGGGAGGAAGTGGGAGAAGAGCTGTTACACTGCAGGGAATAAAATAGTGTCACAAAACAAAATGTGTATGAACTATTGAATGTTAATGAGTCTGTTTTGTACAATTTCACCCAAATCACAATAAAAAGTTTTTTTTAAAAAAAGCCACTTGTTGTGGATCAGGCTAGGAGAAGGAAAAGCAGTTCTTGTAGAATAAACAGATACAATGAAAATTACTCCCTCTCAAAATCCTCTCTTAGCTGTTTTCAGAGCTATTTGCACACCTTGTAATAAAGAACTATTTTTTATCTTGGTCGATATTAATCACTTCCTATTTTAAAAAATGTAATATTTCTTTAAAAGTTCCCTTCCTCACACCCACTCCTCGCCCCATCCCCAGACCCACTATTAACATTCCTTCAAAAATGTTCTGTGTATCTTTATTTTCAACATAGAAATCTATACATATTGTTCTGTAACTAGAGGTTTTGTTAATCATGTGTTAAAAACTTGACCATGTGATGTACAGCATTTTGTTTTGTCACTATTATATGCCTGGAAATGAATGATATCCCATTGTTTACTTCATTTATGTAATCAAATAATGAAAAAATATACAAGCATATGAGAAAATGATGTAAGACTTCGATTAGATATCTAAAACCCCTACATTACTTGGAATTTGAAAATTAATTTTTGTATTAAATAAATCTGCCAACAATATTCCCAGATTAATTATTGTTTACCAAGGAGATTTCTTTTCCCAGGCTGAGAATGCCTTAATGGCAGGACCGTATTGTATTCTTAAATTTTTAAATGAATAAATGAACAATAAATACTTTGTGTTTCAGTAAAACTTTACTGTCTTGAAAGCTTGTTGTTGTCATTAGGTGCCACTGAATCAGTTCTAACTCATAGGAACCCTATGCACAATGGAATAAAACGTTACCTGATCCTACACCCTTCTCACAATGGTTGGTGTGTTTGAGCCCATTGTTTCAGCCACTGTGTCAATCCATCTTGTTGAGTGTCTTCCTCTTGAAAGCTGGGCAGTCTGGATTGGAGAACAATAGGAATTTATAGAATAGTTTTAAATAAATGTGGTTTTAGTGATTTCATGCATATTAATTAAAGCTAAGAAGGAATTTTGACGTAAAGATTCAGCCCCATTGATATACTTTAATAAAAACGTAAGATTCATTTTTAATTAATAATCTTTGTGGGCCTACACATTACTGTGGTACTTAATGTGAGTTTATTTTCTTGAGCAGGTTTTGAACATTGATACATCAATACTTTTATACCATATTATTACATGGAACAAACACTTTTTTAGTAGATGGTGCAGTGGTAAATCTCAACCCAGCTCAAGGTAAATAATTACAAATGCCCAATTGATAGAGATGAAGGAGATGCAGACTTTGGGGGCACATATACTTTTCCTATAAAGAAAAATAACAAAGACCATTTAATCAAATGCATGAATATTATTCCATGAGAATATCTTACTTTAAATTAAAAGTATATTCTAGACTGGTGGTTGGCAAACTATGACATGCAGGTCAAATCCAGTGGGTGAAATCCAGCCTGTTTTTATTTTTTTTGCCAGCCTGTTTCTGTTACTCTTTTTTAAAATAAAGCTTTATTGGAACACAGCCTTGCCCATTTGTTGACATCTTATCTACAGCTATTTTCACATTATAGAGACTATCTAGATTGCCGTGCCTGAAATATTTACTGTCAGGCCTTTTAGAGAAAACACTTGCCAACCCATGCTTTAGACAGTTAGACTTGAAGATTAATAACTCTCTGTATTCTCATCCATTTCCATATATAAATATTTCAAGGGTAGTCTGTTATTCACTGCTATGTAGATTTCTGCTGACTGATTGACCTATAGAGGCCTCTTCCATTATAGACATTTTTCAATCCAAACTCTCAGAAAGAATTTTCCTATTTTTCTGTGACTCAACTAAATCTGACATGGGACTCTATAAATGCCCTCATGTATGTCTTCTTCATTTGATTCCATGAAAAACTGAGTGCTGTATCATGTTTAGGAAGAGCCCATTGAGTTAGTGGAGCAGGAAAGGAGGGAGGGAGTATATGGAGGGTACTGCGCACTTAGAGTAGAAATTAAGACAGGATCTCTCTCATTCTTTCTCTGAGCAGTAGTGATATCATGCATGTCATTGAACCTCTGATCTTCATGTCTTTAGCCTTAAAATGAGAAAAATTTCTGACCTACTTACTGCAGTGTCAAAAAAAAAAAAAAAAAAAAGAGAATGTGGCATTCCTTTATAGTGTAAAGTTTTATACAAGTTTAAGGTATTATGAAGGGTGAGAAAACTTACCCTCCGAAAACAAAATCTCAATGAACTGAAACTTAGAAAAAGAATTTTCTAAAGAATTTTCTTCCATAAGTCTATTTTATTTTTTCAGCAAAAAAGCATGTTTTGGAATTCTGAATTTTTTGCAAGTACAGTGTTTATACCATAGCACCTCTCCCTCTCCATAGGATATGAGGCAGCACCCCATGAGCATTAATATGTATGCAGCAAAACTTGGATAGTTAAACCTAGCTGCATAAAGACTACAAATAGCCAAATGAGTTTGTGCCGAAATATAAGAAAAATGAGTTTGTTTCCAAGCTTCTTGGAATTTGAAATTACATGAAAGAGATTGTGGGTCTACATAACAAAAACATGATCATTAAGATATTCCTGAGGTAGAACAATTCCAGTTCTATTGCTCAGATCTTCACATCTATGTATACTTTATCTTCTAGAGTCATTATTACTCAGAATAATACATATCCAGAGCAGTTAGATGTTGACATCCAAGGAACTTTCAACTAACCAGGTTTATTGTGGGTTTCTCCCAAGGCAGCAGAGTATGGTTTGAAAAAGATTTCCAACAAATATTAAAACCCAAGAGAGTCAATAGTTATCTAGTCCTTAAATGGAATTGCTGAAATCTTTGCTACTTTATTTCTGTGTTCTAAACCCATTGCTCTTGAGTTGAGTCCGTCTCATAGTGACCCTATAAGACAGAGTAGAATTCCTCCACAGCATTTCCAAGGCTGTAATCTTACAACAACAACAAATCTTTACAAAAGCAGATTGCCACATCTTTCTCCTATGGAGTGGCTGGTGGGTTCAAACCACTGACCTTTAAGTTAACAGTTGAGCACTTAACCACTGCACCACCAGGGCTCCTGTACTCTTGTGACCATAAAAATGAATTTGAATTTGCTCTAAAGTAAAGCTAATTATTGGTGTGGTATGGAACCAAACAAATGAATAACTAACCCATGATCTATATAACATAGTTGCCCATGTCCTGAGTTTTGACACTTTTTCATTATGCTTTTAACTCTTATATGTCTTTTCTCTATTTTTCTGTGGCTTTCTTTTCTTTTCTTGTTTCTTTCTTTTTTAAGTGTATTTATTTAGTTTTGTTTTGAAAACTTTGTACCACTAAAAATTGTCACCTGAAGGTGAGTGGTTCAAACCCACCAGCTGCTTGTGGGAGGAAGATGAGACAATCTACTTCCCTAAAAATTTATAGCCTTGAAAACCTAATAGGAATCATTGTGAGTTGGAATTGCTTTGATGGCAGTGGGTTAGAGATGGTCGGAATAACCTGTGTCTGGCACAAAATCGGCTCTTGGAAATCATTGATAATAGTGAATAAAGTCAGTAATCTATAGACTGGTTTCTGTGTCCATTGATTGGCCCTTTAGTCATTCT